TTAGAATGACTCCGATGCGCTATTTAAAAAATCTTTGACTCTTAAATCAAATGAAGGCCTGTGGTAAGTTCTTGTATCGAGTTACTTGTACATGTGGAAATGTTAGATCACAAAACATAAGACCTAATATTACCTCATACATTTATTTCATTATTTAAATAAATCTTTAATGAACTGAAATTAAAACCGTCTCCACAGAATTATTAATTACAAAGACAATTTCCTTTTTCAAAACGTATTTTCACTGCTATTTCAACACAAACAATTAATGTCTTAATATTTTTCTCCGACAGCTTTTACTGCATTACACACGTTCGACCAATCTTGTAAAATCACTAAAGTCTTAAGCAGAGTTGCAGTAGAGCTAAGGAGGTCTTCATCGGCAACCCCCTTTGTCCTGAGAACCGCGACTTTCCCTGGTACGCGTATTAAAGCCAATAACACGGATGACGTAACCCCGCTCCGAATATATTACTCTCCAAACTTTCAAAAATAATTCAGTATTGAAGACAAAATACGAAGGTGTTTTGCTCCCATAATTCCTGTACTTGCATGATGTTATCGTTTCTTCTCATCACCTCGAAATGCGTGCTAACCCGCACCAGAACTCTGGTGTTTGGACAACACGCCGGACGCCAAAGGTTCAAATTTCAAAGGCGGTGGATAATCAAGATGGCTAGGAATTTCAAAAAGCGATCAGAAATATTTACGTGTTAGATTCCACTCTGAAACACGATATCAAAATTCAAGATGGTAGCTCTCCTTAAATCGTGCCACCGATGCAACCAACTAAGTCTGAGGACACGATGAAGATGATGATGATGATAATGATCTATTTTTCCAAATTCGTCTATTCCATACGCCAACCTATGTGCCAACCTCTATGATTCATTTCTACCTTTCAAACTCCGTACGTGTTCTCGAAAACAAAAACAAATAATCTAAAAATGACGACGTTATCATCAGCTGTCGTCACAAAAGCATTTCAACCAGCAAGAAATATAAAGCTCACTGTAAACTTCCACATTGAATATCTCTAACAAGGGATCTGTCATTACTTCAAGAATTGAGCGGTAAAATAATATTCAGTTAACTTAATAACAAGCACAGGAACATTAATTATATAACGCTCAAAACTATTCCTTCTGTAAAACACGTATAATTAAAAAAAATTATAACTTTTGAAATACTTATAAATCACATTTTCATTACGTTATCTCTCACTAAAAGAAACTTACGAATGTAGCTACAGTTCTAACACGTTACGAGATCAATTTCGTTGTATCCCACGTTGTTAAAATAACGACAAGAAGTAACGCTTATCCAAATATTGTCTGTAATAACGAATTACTTTTCTATGTGCTTAACTGTTGCCAATAAAATATTGTAGTTAAATTTAAAGTTCATGGATACTTAATTTCAGCCAAAATACACTTCTTGGCATACAAATATGGCTGGCTCATAATTCAAATAACAATTCACTGTGTTCTTTTTTACGAGGGGGTCTCACTGTTGAAACTAATTTAATCTTGGATATATACGAACTAAAAATAACATAAGCGATTGCCTGATTTATGAAAGGCGTAGACAGAAATACAACACAGGATTTTCACTCTTCAGTAGAGAGACTGGTATTGAAGGCAATGAACTCCGTCTTTTGTAAAATTTCCTCGTAATTATTTATATTTTGGTTAACATTTCTTTTCAGTTTCCACTAACCAAATTCGTTCAACCACAGTAAATGTTACCTGTTGACTCCCTCACACACCTTCTGGAATAATCAACGTCACTAATGGGATGGAGTCATTAACTACATTGTTCTTCAAATATTCATCACCACTTTCTTCTCTACGTAATAAGTACTCGATAAAGACGTACAGAAACATCGCCCTGATGACAGAGGCAGTATGACCTCTGAAACGTTGGTTAACATCAACCAGACTACACAGCGGAAGAACCCAGAAGACAGAAATTTTCATCGCTCTGTTGATGGAGGCAGTAAGACCTCTGAAACGTTGGTTAACATCGACCAGACTACACAGCGCAACAACCCAGAAGACAGAAATCTTCATCGCCCTGATGATGGAGGCAGTATGACCTCTGAAACGTTGGTAAACATCGACCAGTCTACACAGCGCAACAACCCAGAAGACAGAAATCTTCCTACTCATCGCCCTGATGACGGAGGCAGTATGACCTCCGAAACGTTGGTAAACATCGACCAGTCTACACAGCGCAACAACCCAGAAGACAGAAATCTTCCTACTCATCGCCCTGATGACGGAGGCAGTATGACCTCCGAAACGTTGGTAAACATCGACCAGTCTACACAGCGCAACAACCCAGAAGACAGAAATCTTCCTACTCATCGCCCTGATGACGGAGGCAGTATGACCTCCGAAACGTTGGTAAACATCGACCAGTCTACACAGCGCAACAACCCAGAAGACAGAAATCTTCCTACTCATCGCCCTGATGACGGAGGCAGTATGACCTCCGAAACGTTGGTAAACATCGACCAGTCTACACAGCGCAACAACCCAGAAGACAGAAATCTTCCTACTCATCGCCCTGATGACGGAGGCAGTATGACCTCCGAAACGTTGGTAAACATCGACCAGTCTACACAGCGCAACAACCCAGAAGACAGAAATCTTCCTACTCATCGCCCTGATGACGGAGGCAGTATGACCTCCGAAACGTTGGTAAACATCGACCAGTCTACACAGCGCAACAACCCAGAAGACAGAAATCTTCCTACTCATCGCCCTGATGACGGAGGCAGTATGACCTCCGAAACGTTGGTAAACATCGACCAGTCTACACAGCGCAACAACCCAGAAGACAGAAATCTTCATACTCATCGCCCTGACGACGGAGGCAGTATGACCTCTGAAACGTCGGGTAACATCGACCAGACTACACAGCGCAGATATTTTAATAACACCGACCACAATTTTTATTCAATGCTAATAAATTCAGCACGCCGATTTCACACAAGACAGCGGAAAAACAAATGATGATTTCATATCCAATGTCAATCAGCGGCAATTAGGCACAAATTCTAATCAACCGCTGCAATTTTCCCACCGAACTTCATTCCGTTCAAATTTCACAGAAATAATTACGCTACGATCTATTGGGACACAACATGGAATTTCGAGATATAAGTCATCAGTCAATAGCGCATACGCGTACTAAATAATTCTAGTACTAATTTAATTTACTCAGGGTTCAAAGAATACATAAATGTCAACCCTTATTTTATGCCAATAATTAGGTCATGTGATACATACGCTCGTTGTCCAATGAGATAATAACACAGATTATTTTATTTATTTATACACAGGACTTAAAATATATAATAAAATTCAGGTCAATACACAAACTTTATTTAGATGTTAAAATTTAAAATTTAAATTTGCGCCATTCATCGCTATAACGATGTTACAATAGAGCGCCTTCATTCACTTCACTACATGTTTCGATGCGAAGCATCATCTTCAGGTGTTATCCTTTAAAACTACTTTATATTATAATGCATGTTTTTAAATTTATTCGTCCGTTTTGAAAATTGAAAAACATGCATTATAACATAAAGTAGTTTTAAAGGATAACACCTGAAGATGATGCTTCGCATCGAAACATGTAGTGAAGTGAATGAAGGCGCTCTATTGTAACATCGTTATAGCGATGAATGGCGCAAATTTAAATTTTAAATTTTAACATTTAAATTTTAAATTTTAACATCTAAATAAAGTTTGTGTATTGACCTGAATTTTATTATATATTTTAATCATAAAACACAAACATGACGCATTTAAACCTTAAACACAGGACTTGGTGTACATATTTCATTGCAGATACAAATTCATTGTTCTGCAGCTATCGCGCTAAGCATGTCACATATCAGACGGCGGTTCATATAATTTTCAGTTTTCTATGACGTGACCATTTTTTTAAAAAAATTCTACATTAATTCATCTGATGAATTTCGTGTAGACCATTCGACCATCAAGTCGTGGAGGATTCGCATTCAGGCGCCCCCGAAGATTAAATCTCCTAACTAAGATTTCTCCGTAGTCCCTAAATGCAAATTAGTACATGCATATCTTTCGCATACTTCCTAAATCATTATTCAATTATCCTATCATACAACGCTATACATTCTGAACTGCTAACAGCCTCGTTAAAATACCACAAATAATCTCGATAAAATAAGCACACGACTCAAATACTAAATTTAGAATAAATCTGTCCAGTGATTTCCTGAATAAAATATATGAACAGGCGATAGGAAAGGATTTCTGCATTGTCTGTACAAACATAATTATTCGATTAATTTATTAATTATACAATCCTTAAACTATCTTTACAATTCCGAGTTTAATTTTAAAAATTACCGCACTAAAGTGTACCTACTAGAATTGTTTAATAAATTACTGTTTTATTATTTTAAAACAACGTGTGAAAAGAACAGATCTGATTTGCATAAAATTGACTACTACCGACTTGATTTCGTGAAATGTTTCTTTGCTGGGAGTCCTACAGTACAAATATTACAGTAGTATTTAATATAGACATCATTAATTCACTTTAATTTGGACAAAACTGCTCAGATTTCCACTTTGGTATTTATAATGTGGTCCTCTGCGTCACTTCTAACCTTAAAATTGAAGAAATGGATTCCATCTAAACGTCATAGACGTACAAGACAAGGTATCATAACCTCAAAAACAAACATAACCTAACTTCCCATAACCATAAACACATATATACTTCTTGCAACATAAATATATTCATTTAATTCATTAATATGTAACATAAATTCATGCCTCGAATTTCATATTCTTCGATATTTAATTTTTACTTTAAATTATTCAAAACAGATAAACTCGTATATATTCAATTTTACACTCACGTGTTCGTTGCCCATTTTAACCACAAAAAATCTGCGTTACTGTCTCTAAGAATTGAAGAAACGTTAAATAGTGACTCACCACAGAGCGCCTGCGATGTGATACGAGAAGAATTTCGAGGTGAGAGATGACGCAGTGACAGCCAACCGATCACCACGCCAGGTCGCAACTGGTCGTCTACCCTCTCCTCAGCATCGCGTCACGGCGTGGACTTCGGGGATTTCCGTCAAGATTCCGACGCCTACATCAACCTACGAACAGGCACACTACGCATATATACGTAGCAATGAAATGAACCAGACATTTATACATTTCCAAGGTGACAATTACAAATTATGGAACATTTATCTAGGCCTGAAACAAAGCACGTTCTAGTATACACATTTCATATCGTTACGTAACCTACACAGCACATAAACGTAAACCATCAAACAAACGACGTGTATTACACCCTAACGATCACGTTCCTTGGACAAATTACTCTAAGGACGACCAACCAAAGGCTCCTGAGATGGACGGGGAATGTAGCACGCATGAGTACATCAGAAATACGTCAATAATTTTGGTTGAAATACCAGAAGTTACGAGACACTTCGGAAGATAATAAAATGGATATTTTTTTTTATTTGTAGTGTTCTGTCTGAGGACAGGTCCATATGAACAGGATCCTTCCATCCTTTTCTCGGACTGCGACCTGTTCATATACGTTCTTGGCAGATGATCCAGAAGTGGTTTGCCATTGCCTTCTTCTGTGTGTGAATGGAGTAATTGTTGGGATGCCACGGAGGAAAACTCCGTGTTGCCTAGACCACGGACTTGCCCAACACAAGTTATAAATTCGAACCCGAGACCCCAGGATTACAAAGCC